AGTCAGACTATGGAAGTTGCTGTTTCAGCTAAAAATCTTCCCCAGCCACTTTTTTGTCAACTGTCAGCCATTTTATATTGCTCCAGCCATGGGCTGCCCTAACACCATCCTGCTCACTGCAAGTTTTAAAAAACCATGTCCAGGTCATTAATGTACAACAAAAGTTCAATGATTCTCATAACAACCTCTGGGGACCATCACTGAACAGGTTTTCCTGTATGTGGACAACACTTGCTAGGTTAGCTTTTATTGTCCATCCCTAATTGCCCTTGAGAAGGTGTTGGTGAGTGACCTTTCATCAATTCTGAAGAATAATCATTCACTACTATTCTTAATATGATAATTGTTCTCTCAGAAGAACAGACTAGTCCTTGATGAGTAGCCTTGGCCATCCAATTTGTGTCAAAGTCAATGAGCTAAAAGCAGGCTGGCTGTTCCCAAGAGGAAATTTAATGGATATCTTCTATCTATTTTCTTCCTTTAAAAAGACATTCTGACGAGTCCATTAAATGTTGGTATTGGCATAATGGTAAAACTCTGCTTCTAAATTATTCAAGCATCACTTGTAATTTAAATTTACATTCTCCTTTATCATTTTGGCCTTTGTTGCATCTGTGAAGAATATCTTCACATTGGTAGATTGCCCTGGGAGCAATCACTGCTAGTAACTAAGCTGTTTTTCATGGATGTTCTTTGTGGATTCCTTTAAGACATGACTAAAATGAGTACTCAAATAATTAAAATAGAAACTAGAAAGTTCTGCATCATTTAGAGGGTTGTCAAACTTTATAATGATTGGTAAGTGGTAAACTGGTAACATAACACACCATTAAAGAGTGACTTGTCAATTTCCTGGGAAAGGGTATGTGTGTGTTAGAAGATCTTTTACAGATGTCTAATGAGTATCTATGAGCTCCTGCAGTTTGTCTGGTTCAAATAGCTTCCCAACTCTATCAGGCAGAAGCTTTCCCTGAAATGAACTCCTGGTGATTTCTCTGGGGTGTGGTTGCAATGGTTGGCGTAGAGGTTTGTCTCTCTTAAAAGTTCACATCCTGAAGAGCTGAGCCATGCTTAGGTTAGAAGACTTTGGCTTATTTTCTATCTTCCTATTTCAGAGCTCCTTAAATTGGTTGCAACATCCTTCCATCTAACATGGCTGAGATCAGCTAAGTGTGTGCACAGAAATCTTTCTGTGCTGCATGACATGGTTCTGCAATGGGAGAACAGCTATCAAACGAGAAGAGCCATGCAATTTCTATTTAATAATACTCAATATATTAGGAACTGCATTCATAGACATATTTTCAGAAGTGTGAGATGAATAATGTGGAAGTCCTAATGCTCCTCATATCTGAAAAATGTAAATATATTATTATACCAAATAGTTCCAAAATATTGGCACCTCTGGTTAAAACGTTCACACAAAGCAACTAATTCATTTGTACACTGATACTGAAATGCTGATATTTCCCAAATGTGGTCACATCAACTGATTTTTACCTGCTTTGTGTAATTTTTTGGGCTTTTAAGATGAAACATTTTTAACGTGCAATACAGAGGTTGAACTGATCACTGAGACACTATGAGTAAAAAAGACAGATCTACCAGACAAAGAGAAAAAGGGCAACTCCAACTCTTGTCCTTCCTGAAGCCAATTCAGGATTGAAGAATTATTGACCATTTATTTCAACAAAGAGGAATTGGCTCAGGCAGCTCAGGAAAAGGATTGGAAATGTTCCTCTTTTAGTTACTTTTTCCTGTGTAATTGTAATATTGTTTTATTTGCTCCTGTTATTTTTCTGTTGAGAATACCAAATACAATTACTATCTTTCTCATTTGAACAGCCTGTTAGCCAGCACTCTGAATTTGGGATGCAAGTCTATTATTATTGGTGAAACATTGAAATGTTTTTACTCTGTAACCAATGTCTGTCAGCCATCATGCACTTAATCATGTTTTTTTTAGCATCCACTGCATTCATGACATTATTGTTAACCATGTATTTGTAATCTTATATGCCTTTGCAAGGCTTCATCCATTTCCTTAAGTTTGGTTTCTTGTTTTTCAATTGCAAGTATTGCTTTTGACTGATGCTGTGTTTGGTACTTTTCCCCCTCCAAAAAACAAAAATTCTCTTCTTCTTTTGTCACTCGATCAAAAACCAAACCAAGCAGAGACAGTCATAACCCGCAGTCTCAGGCTGTAGGAAAAGTATCCATAACAATGAAATGGAGAAAACGGTCCACTGCGTAAGTTCTGTCAACTAGAAGTTAAAGTGTGATCTGATGGCGTCATGTAACAAGCTCAACGATTGGTTGCATGACATGCCGTCAAGTTTCGTGGAGGTGCTGTGAAAGCATTTTTCTTGGATGTTGTATCAGTTAATGATTGGCCAGTCATGATCACATGTGCCTTTTGACTGTGTGCTGCCACTATTCTTGCTGTGCTCATTTTAGTTTAGTGTTTGCGGTGGTTCTTTTAATAATTATTATTTCTTTATTTTATTATTTTTCTTTCAGTCCTGTCAGCTTTCTTTGCTTCTTTAGATGTCACATAAAACATTGATTCCCAATCCTTTTATATAAAAACAATTTTTATAAAATGAGGTTTACCTGTATAATAAAATGTGTGGTCAGTTTCTTTGCACCAAAACTATTGTGATTTGTTTATTTTTTGGAGGAGGGGGCCTTTTTCATTTGAAGAACCTAGGACAAAAAAAAACTTGGATGGTAGCAGGCATAAATCCAAACTTACACAAACAAGATCAAAATAGCCAATCTGTGCTTTGCAATTACAGCAATTTCAGATTCATTTTCAGTAGTATGTCAAATCATTCAGAACAAAAGTGTTTTTTTTTGTGCAACTGAAAAAGGGTCCTTTGAAATTGTTTTTTTATTTTTGCTGTTGTAATTGTTCGATTGCTGTGTACGGTTTGCTCTTTGTTTAACCAACAGTGTGGGAACCTGCCAGCATGGATTGATATTCCGCATGTCACTTCCACTAAAGTGGATCATTTGCAGTTCTAGTTTCTATTGTTTTAAAAGTGTAAGCAGAATCTGCCTGCTAGCCGTGGACAGAACTGCTGTGAGATTTTTCTTTAGATTAACATTATCTCTGCTGTTTAATATAGCATTGCATTTTTTTAAAAAAACTTGTAGTGCAGATTCTTAAAGAGACAGTATCCCTATTTTGTGGGGTCAACACGGGTAGAATGCCAAAACTGTTAGCAATCAACTTTGTTTAAAGCTTATCCTTTCAAATACTGCAGCCTTTCCAAAATGTTTCAATAATATCTGTTCTTCTCATCCACCCAAAGCATTTGCTTTCGATCTCTATAGGGGCTGCAGCACTTCCTCTCTCTGGTTCCAAACTTGTTCCCAACATTAATGTACCCTGGTGACGTTCCTGAAATTTGTCTTTCACGAGTTTCATTAATTACCAGTTGCAATTGCTGAGGTAATGCTCGAGATTTATCTTTTGTAAATCATATATGCTTTGGAGTATATTTATAAATTTCCAGATGGACCCTTCTTAATTACCTGCTTTCAAGGCTGAAGTGACTAAAAGTCTTCCCTCAAAATTCAATCATCTTCCACCAGGATATTAGGCATATACACCTTGTTTATGACTCCCCTAGATTTGACTTCCTCCTTTATATCTCCATGACCAAACTGGACACAATTCTTAAGGTCAATTCACCCATAAGGTTTCACCACCACTTCCCTAGAGAGAACAAACATTAATACAAAAACAGAAATACTTGGAAATGAATGTGTTGGTCATGCTGGAGCTCTGTTTTGAAGTATACAAGTCGGACCAGTATGTGTCATTTTCAAGTTTTGCTGGATTTTCCTTCTGGGTTCTTAAGGACAATTATGGATAAGCAATAAATGCCCACATCCCATGACCTGATAAATTTTAAAAAAGCATAATTTTCCAACCCTTTACTGATGTTAGCGATATACTTCAGCATTGTGTTTGAACTGCTCAGTACTGCTTTAGTAAAATTGACAGTTGTAGTCTAATTGACAAACACCACATATGGTCCTGTTGAGCTACTTGCTCTTAGTTCTAAGACAGACACAAAGAATGCTGGAGAAACTGGTCTGGTAGCCTCTGCAAAGAGAGAGTCAGGGTTAAGGTTTCAAGTCTAATTTGAGTTTTCTTCAGAACTGACTCATGCTGGACTCAAAACGCTAACTCTGTTTCTCTCTCCACAGAATCTGCCAAACCTGCTGAGTTTCTCCAGCATTCACCATGTTTGATTCAGATTTCCCTTAGTTATCGTTCACTACAGGTCTATGCATTTAGGATTAGACATTTTATTATTTTCTGGAAGTCCCACACATTGTAATTTTTCTCATTCATGTGCATTGTGTGTTACTGCTGAATGCAGTCAATCATCTAGTACTGTACGGTTGCAATGTATTTACAGCACATAAGCTGACCATTTGGTCTGTTAAGTGCGTGACAGTAACTGAGTTCCACACAAACCCCCTCCAAGCTTCTTCATCTAACCCCATCACCAAATTCTTGTATTTCTTTTTATTATATATTTATCTAGCTTCCCTGTAAATGCATCAATCATAGTCATCTCACTAATCATTTTGGTAAAGCATTCCTTTCTCTGATAGACTTTTTCATGAATTCACTATTGAATTTATTAGTGACCAGCTTAGATGTATAACCTCCAATATAAAGGACTTGACAATGCTGCAATTATCTAGCCCTGCCTTACCCATAAAAACATTACTCTTACACAGCCAAGCCATTAAATTAAAACACACATAAATGCTACAAACCATTTGATTTTGAAAAGGCTGAAGGGTTCACAAAAGGTATGTTTTGTAGATACAATGCACAGACTTTCAGATTGAAGACAGAAAAAGCAGGATGCTGTTTCTTTAGATTATACCTACAGTAAAACATGATTGGTGTAGATCTGGTACTGTTACACATTCTCATCTCTAATCTGCTTTGTCTTGTCTTCATCTTCTAGGGCGGAAACTGGAGAGGACCGCATGTACAAAAAATAATAAAAGTACTGTTAAATAAACCTTTGGACATATCAGCATACGCCAATCAAGCTGAAGACTTCTTCAGACTTTTATCTTTGACTGCTCTGATTGTTTAGGCTGTTAAGTCTCTACAAAATGTATCACTTCTGCTGAAGGATGAGTTTTAAACGCCTGAAAGGAGAGAAAAAAAATTTAAAAGATGCTAGGGGCGTGTAGAGCAACAAGTTGATGAGGAGTGCCTGTTGTCATCATGGATACAGTTGCCATGGTCACACATGGTAACAGTCACTATCTGTCATTCCTTAGGTATTTTAGGGACCAAAGGACCAAACTTTTTATTGCAGACTTGTAGTCGTATGTAAATTATGGATTTCTTTCCTTCTCACACTGTTCCTAAAACAGTCTGAAAAGTTTATCTTGAATTGTAAAAAAAAGTAATAATAATGATAATACTTAACTGCTTTTAAATAAGCAAGATTGTAGTTCTTTGATACTTTGGGAGGCACTTTGGTATCATTAATTCAAGTAAGTAGTTTTCATATGGTTTTCTGTAACTTTCATGAGGATTGAACATTTGAGATTGGCTTAACTGTGATCTGTGAGAAGCAAAAAAAACAATCTTACAGAGTGAGGACTATTTTGGAAATAGGATTATTGCTTGAAAATGGTTCATTGTGTTCTTAACCTTCCCTTAAAAGAAAAACTCAATAGATGTACAGATAATAAAAAAACTTTTAAATTACTGATATAAAAATATAAAAAATTAGACATAAAAATGCAAAAAAATAGAGGTTAGCATTACTGCTAAAAATAAGAAATCCTGTAGAATTGTAATTTTGTAGAATTTAGATGAGCATATGTTCATATACTGCCAATTGCTATCTGATCCTGTTAAATAATGACAGAAGATAAGTTACTCTGGCAGCTCCTTGACTGCAATCATTCCAGCTACGATTAAAAAGGAATTAAAAATATATTGAAAAAAAACACACAAAAATTGAAACTTGTAAACATTGCAGCAAAACGCAGATATGAATATCCACCGAGGGTTAGTGAGAAACTGGAAAGACACGTATTAGCCTGGAAAACCTGCTTAACATCATCAGGATCTGCTTTTAGCAAAACTCTTACCGACCTCCATCCATTGCAATAGTACTCTTTCATGTTCAAAAAAAAAGTAAGTGAACTTCAGGGCCAGCGCAAAGTCCTGACTCCCAACAAACTAACATTGAATCTGTAATTCAAAAGGAATAACACAAAAAGAGAATCTCTGCTGTTTACAGAAGGTACAAAAAAAAACAGAGAATGTTTAAAAGGTTCTGGCTCTGTTTTATGTAAATAAATTTGCATATTTTGTAGGACTTTTACTGTACTGATTGAGAAAAAAAGGAAACTATTTAATGAAAGCACGGTATTTATCTTTGGTAACTGATGTAACGGAGCAGTTGAAACAAAAAGCACTGTGTTGATTGCTGTAAAATCTGGAACCAATTTATTTATGAATTATTTATTCAGTTTATTTATTGTTCTTTTAGGAGGATGTCATGTTTTAACTTAATTTACAAATGCCAGCATTGTGGCTGACTGCTCATTGTTTTATGATTTTTTTTATTCCTTGTGGGCGTTTTTTACACAGGCATTTTGATATTTTTTTTCCATTTCTTTTTACTGTTTCTCTTTTCTAAAATTCTAATTTCTGTCATACTTTATCTAAAGAAAAGAGCTGTATACCTGCATCCAGTGCGGCATACAGTCATTACAAGACTGCTCTCTTCACTCTCAATTACCTGGAAACTATTGTAATCTTCATGTAAGTACTGGATGACGCTTTTCAGCTTAGCCCTAAATAAAGCACAGTTTAAGAAAAAGCACTTTGGCATCTTTTGGATCTGTTCACATTGCCACTGGCCACACGTTCAGCCTGTTTAGTTGCATGCAATTTCTCACATACAGCTTTGCAATTTTAAAACTGTCTGAAAGATTGCCGCATCTTTCAAGAATCCAAAAGCTGTGAAAAATTAATCACTAATGAACAAAGGTCTTCCTGACAACCCCAGAACTAACAGCCCCAGTGGAGAGTAAATATTGCAATCGAGTCCTACATTGGCTGCTTGCACTTGCCAAATGCAAAATCAGAGAAGAGACTGGAGGGGAGCTTATGAAGCCAAGCAGCAGTGCTAAGGGTACTGTTCCTGCAGTATACCAACATAAGTGTAAGAACAACACAGAAAGGCAACAGGAAAGATGGTTAAAAACCATTACTCACTGTAACATCAACTTACTTACATTTATATAGCATCTTTAATGTGATTATTACATCCCTAGGTATGTTAAATGAAAATATTCAGATAAAAATTAATACCAAGCCAAAGAAAGAAATTATTAGAATAGGTGAGCAAAAGCTTGTTTATAAGAGGAAAAAGAAATGTATGAATTTGGCCTCCAAAACCTTCATGTATGGGAACATGAAGATAAAAGAAGGATTGTGTGTTAGAACGAATTCTGATGTTGATCAGAGGAGAGATTTGGTTATAATTGCAGAAAATGTGTCAGATGCAAATAAACAAGATTACTGGTTGCGCTATCAGAGGGAAATGATAAAATCAAAAGATTTACCATTATTACTGTAGTGCACTGATTATAGACCATATGGAATGTTGTTTGCAATACACAGCACTACATCATACAAGTTATATTATTGGGCCCTCAAGAGGGTGCAATGTTGTGCTTAAGCTAATTGTAAAAGAGGAGATTTCAACTAAACTAAAGGAGAAGTTTTCAAAATTATGAAGAGATTTATAAACGACCAGTGCCAAGGGGGTAATGGCCTATAATTGGCCAGGAAACACAGCAATCAGCTCATTAAAAACCACTGCCTTAAGATTTTTCACTGTGTATTGAAATGACAATTTTTATTTATGGTTGCCATCATGATCGGTTTCTAAGGGCTGCTTTGTACATGTGATTTATAATGCATTAACCATAAGTTCTGTTGAAAAATGACATAATAAGCACTATCACAGAAACATTAGCACAATCTCCAAATAAACTGTCTGACATAAAATGAGAAATATTTCTTTTAATTCACACTTTGTTAATTTTGAATGTTCTCAAGCCTTACAATCAAGCCTTATCATGGCCACAAAATTAAAGGTGTCATTTTGAAAATGCTAATTCACAAACACAGAAACACAGTCACAGCCACATCAAGGATTTGATTCTCTTGCGTCCGCTCCTGGAAAGCATTTCTTCTCCGAGTACAATGGCCAGATCAAAGAGAACAGAAACTATTAAAACAAGCATTTTTTATTAATATTCATCATGCTATTTAGGCATTACTAGCTAACGCAGCCCTAATTGCCCTGGAGAAAGTAGAGGTGAACTTCTCTCTTGAACCTCTGCAATGCTTAGGATTTGGGGACATAATGCTGTTAGGAATAAAGTTCCAGAATTTTATCCTAGTGACAGTTAGGGAATGGTGATATAGTTCCAAGGCAGAATGGCGTGAATCTTGGAAGGGAGCTTACGGGTGATGATACTCCATTTCATAAATCGCGGGAAAAACTCAATAGGCTTGGCTGCATCTGTGGAGAGAAATCAGAGTTAACATTTCGGGTCCAATGATTCTTCCTCAGAACAGAACGTTAACTCTGATTTCTCTCCACAGATGCTGCCACACCGACTGAGTTTTTTCAGCAATTGCTGATTTGTTTCTGATTTCCAGCATCCATAGTCCTTTGTTTTGTTTATGGTATTCCACTTATTTGCTACCCATGTAATTCAAGATGGTCTAGGCCACAGGTTTGGAATGTGCTGTCAGAGGAGCATTGGTGAATTTGTTTCAGTGTAACCCCCAATAGATCACATGCAATGACTGCCATTGTGCATTGTGCTAAAGGAAATGAATGTTGACGATGGTGGATAAGCAGGCTGTTTTGTCCTACACAATATCAAGTTTCTTGAGTGTTGTTGGGGCTGCACTCATCCAGGCAAGTGGAGAGTATTCCAACATACTTCAGATTTGTCCCTTGTAATTGATGGACAGGCTTTGGGAAGGTAGCAGATGAGTTACTTGCCACAGAACTCTTAGCCCCTGGCCTGCTCTTATAGCCGCAGTATTTATATGGCTGGTCCATTTCAGCTTTTTGTCAATGGTACCATCTAGGATGTTGACAATAGGGGATTAATCAATGGTATTGTAATTTTAAATAAGGAGAAACAATTAGAATCTCTCTTGTTGGAGATGGTCACTACCTGATACTAAACATGACTTGCATTTTACCAGCTCAAACCTGAATGTTATCCCTGTATTGCCATATGGGGACATAGATTGCTTCAGTTATCTGAGGAGTCATGAATGATACTGAACATTGTGCTATCATGTGTGAACATCCCCATTTCTGATCTTATGATGGAGGGAAGGTCATTGATGAAGCAGCTAAAAATGGTTGGGCCTAGGACACAACCCTGAGAAACTCCTGCAGAGATGTCCTGGAGTTGAAATGACTGACCTCCAACAACCACAACATATCCACATTGCTGAGAGACTCCTAGCACTTCTCGAAAGTGGGTGGGCAGCCAGGTGCATGCTAAGGCCAAAACCACTAAATGAGTTAGGAGAAAGAATTAAGCAGCAAGGTGAAAACAAATCAAAAGGAGGGTTTTATTTTAAATTTACAGGTTCTCTGTTCTCGGACAAAAGATGCTGCACTTAGCAGCAACTCCTGCACAGCCTCAATGTGTATCACCCCCTACCTCACCACCCACAATTGCCAGATTCTGGTTTACTGGCCCAAATCTTGTGTACAGGAGGCTGAACCCAATACCTCAACTCGCAAATACAGGCAGGTTTGTTCACAACGCACTGTGATGTGCAGCTCCCCTACCTCACTACTAGATGCAGGAGCAACCACATTAATTGCAGGTCTGGAATGTGTGCGCTATGCATAGACCATTCACACATTTTCCTTAAAAGAAAGCCGTAGGTTCAAGCCCCAGTCCAGGAACTGAACACTCCTGACTGCTGCTTTCAACAGCACTGAGCTGTTGCATCTCAAATGTGA